GATAGTAAAATCTTATTTTTTGAATCACAAGTGAATTGTCCATCATCACATCCCATGGGATTTAATTTCATTGTAAAAGTTATAGCTAATTATTGAGTTCTCCATCACAGTCTTTAAGGAAAGCAAGTCATCCTCTCATCAGAAAATTGCTCGACTGTCTCCACTTTGTAAAGGTAATTTTCTCCTCCTTTTTCCAGAGATTTAACACTACCTCTGGGGAGCCCCACAGACCCTTGACTTCTACTCAGATCTTGGTCGTCTCATCTGCAAAATGTGGATGATAACAGAAACCCCTCGTAAGGTGTGGTGAAGCTTAACAATAATAAGATGTAAGGTGGCTGAGGCCTATTATGTGTCAAACACTGTTCTGGACCATGTAAAGAGGGTTCTATTATCACCTTCACCTTAAACATAAGGAACCTGAGGCTCAGAGAAGTGAACTAATTTTCCCAAGGTAAATTCCCAACTAGTAAGCATCAAAGGCAGATTGTAAACTCAGGCAGGCTGTCTTCAGAGCTCACACTGGCAACTTCAATACAATAGCTGGGGCAAGGCAAAAGGGGAGCAAGATCAAGGAGCAGCATTTTGGGGAGTAGAGTAGGGAGGGCAAATACTGTGGTTAAACTAGGAGCTGGCCTAGGCTGGGTTGAAGAGCTAACTATAAATCCCAGGAGGGCATCATCATATCCCAGCCCCTGGCCCACAGTGAGGGCTCAAGTCAGTATGTAGGAGATTCATTCCTTTAACCAGTATGTATTCAGTGCTTCACTGACAAGGCAGAATGAACTTCTTAAAATAGAGGTCAGACCATGACGGCACACCTCTGCTCAAAATCCAACTCCTTATTACACTGAAAATGGAAATCTGCATAACCCTACTCTACCTCATGCCCCACTTTCTCTCTGGTCGCAGGTCCTCCACTCCCCGTCAATCATGTGCTTCCCTTCCCCCCACATATCACACTTTCTTTCCTCAAACGTGGCAGGAACTGTCCTGCAACAGGCCACAGGGCCTTGGAACCCTACTCCCTCCTACCGGCACAACTATCCACCTTTCCCATACATTTTTCACTTGTTCTGTTGCTTCGTTCAGGTCTCTTCAGAGGTCACCTTCTTTCATAACTGCACTACAGAAATCAGCCCCTGCCCACCTCAGTCCTTCTCTGTTCTTTCATTCTGCTTCCATTTTTCTTTGTAGCATTTGCAAAGACATTGCCAAACCTGTTTATGTATTTATTTTCCTTCTCCCCTGTAGAAGGTCAGCTCCATGAGGGCAGGGATTTTGTCTGGTTTGGTAGTACAGTGTCTTCAGAAAACGTATCAGGACTTCAGTGAATATTTGTGGAAGGAATGAAAAAAAGAAGGGAGGAAGGGAAACCCAGAGGGAGGGGAGAGAACAGAAGGTAAGGTCAGACAGACTCAAGGGTTGCTTGTTTTTCTGAGTTTTCTTTTAGGCTGAGAGAGACTTAATTCTACTTACATGCAGTGGAGAAGAGGTAGTTGAGAGAGAAGGGTGAATGAAATATGAAAAAGAGGATAAATGAGATTCACCAAGAAGGAAAACATGACAGCAGAGCTCAGGTGAAGGGACCACTCTCAGGGCCTCCTACATTTGCTCTGATAACAGGACCACAATGCTACAACTCCTGGGTAAGGAAAGAAATGGAAAATTCCACCTGCAATGAATGGTTTTTGAAGAGGTTAGCAATCTTAACAGAGAACTTTTGGCTACTTGTCCCCTATGAGAAATCATGAAATCCATGATGGACCTCAGAATCCCCATTCCCCAGCCCTGTGAGGGAAGCGTGGCTGTGAACTCCCACCAACAAGTCCCTGTGGAGCCCAGAGACCAGCCCCACCAAGCAAGACTGGAACAGGAAACCCTCCAGAGGGTAGCAGGGAACAGGAGCAGGCAGGTTAAAGGCTTTTTCTTCCCCTTGTACCTATTTCAGTGGGGCTCCCACCTCATGATTAGAAATCAACTCTTGCCTCGAGCCTCAGCAGCATTACTGCACCTGGCTGTGTCTTCCCATCACAGCACCAGCCGAGGCAGGCATGCAATCAGAAAGAAATGGCCTTGTCTTGCCAGGAGACCACACACAACACAAGGGAACTATTGGTTTTGAATGCATGGCACTCACTCAGGGTTATGACCTTCAAGACAACCTCAACTTTCCTTTCTAGGGGCTGAGATAGCCTCAGCCTGTGTCTTGGGTCTGTCTATACTGGTCTCTCTGTCTCACCATCTCCATACATCAGTGGCTCAGATAAGGAGAGTCTTCTGAACAGCTCAGCCATTGCTATTCTCATCCAAAAGATGCTCTTTGAAGTTGTGCATTTTTTGCGATCTTGTGATTAACTGCCTTTGCTACAATTCTTGGAAATAAGCTCTTGTCTGGGTCCAAATCAATATATGCTTATTTAACCTCATATGACTAGAAACCTTTGCCCTTCCCCCTAGCTAGGGATTCCCTCCTTCTGTACCTTATTGAACTGATACCCTCCTCCTATGTTCTATCCCTGTAAGGCCAGGAAGGAATGGTTGAGAGAGTCTGCTGACTCTGGACATGGCAGCTGACATTACTCACATGGACTTAACTCAACCTTGCCATTGCTTTCAACATCACTGACTGAGCACAAAGGACATGCTAGGTGCTTACAGCCATTAGTGCCTTTAGTCCCCCCTTCTTTAAGTAACTAAATTGTCTCATGCCTTATTCGGCTTCCTATTTAAAGATAAGGAGACTGAGGCTTGGAGAGGTTAAATGACTTGACCAAGGCTGCAGAAACTGGTTCCTTTTCTTGCTGACTCCACTGAGGGGCTAAGGGCTGATTCTTGGATGCACAGACAAACCGGAGAAGCACTGTGAGGTTTGATATGGGCACTGTCAGTATAAACGTGAGATGTGGGAAGACAGCTGTGGAGGCAGGAAGGGGATCTTTAAAGGAAGTTCTAACTCTTGTGTAGACTGCACCCTGATCAGTGAGCATGCAGTTTACAGAAACAAGGTGCTCTCCTAAAGTGATCTCATTCCTCTTGTGCTATAGCATTTCCAAAGAACTGGGGGTGAGGGGCATCACAATCTGTCACTACCTGGCAGCTAGGCAAAAGGAAGGCTATGAAAAAAGCAGAAAGATAAGGTCAGAGTCCGAACGCTGGGAAAGCTGTTGGCTCAGGCCCTGCCAGGTAGCTGTGTGATACGTGAGACTTGGGATTTTACATCACTGTCAGGTACAGGTGCTGACTGGCTGTGTGGCCCCAGCAGATCACTCAGTCACTGTGGGCATCAAGGCATCTCTTATCATGTGGTGATAATTCTTGAGGTATTCTGAGGCATAGGAATAATTCACTTCAACCACTTATGAAGAAAGCATTAGAAAACCCTAGGCATTATTGCTAATTATTTTAATAGTTCATTAATAACATCCTCATTTGTTTGTCCAAGTTGCTTCTATTAACCTTGGATAGTCTGGCTGGTTCCCTTACCTCTAATAACATCTCTGCTATCGCTGAAGGCTTCCATTTATGCTTCTCATCCTCTTTTATCTGTATTTCCTCTATTACTTTGGAGTCCAAAGATTTAGGTCTGAAGCTGGCTCTAACCCTTATGTGCTGTATGACTATGACTCAGCTAGCCGCCAGCTCCTTATCTGTAAAATGGGCTGAATCCATAGACCCTGACCTCACTGAGTGGTGTGAGGCTCAGGTCAGCTGAAATTTACAAACTCAACAGGGTATGGATGTGTGGTGAATTAATGCCTGCTCTGATTATTTTTATTCATTTATTTGTTTTTGAGTTCACCCCAGGCCCTCTGATTTTATGAGAAAATAAAAACACTGGATAGGCTTTCAGGACCTCAGGTATGTGTCTGTTACTGAGAAATCATTACCATGACTCCTAAGGTCTAATGGTCAAATGGAAGGACACAAAAACATTCAGGTTCCTGCAGAAACTCCTCATTGCCCCATGGCCTTGTTTTCAAAGGAATTGTGTATGTGTGTGTTTAATTATAGTGAATATATATGTTTTTGAAAATGGTTTATACTCAAAGCTATGAAAAATATAATGAAAAGAAAAATCTATGATACAAAGTACCACAAAAGCTAATTTTACCTTCCACAATTTCTGATGCATCCTGGGACTGGCCTCCCCTCCCAAGCCTCCGTGTACCTCTGTACTCACACCCCAAGCAGGACACATTCCTGCCACTTCTCAGGGGTGCTTTCTCACCCAAGGAAACAGGCCCAGCCATGCCTGATGTCCCCACCAGGGAGAAAGAGGATGACAGCAGAGGACCACAGAGCGTGAGTTTGTGGACAGCAGTCTCACCCTCCACCCTAGTCTTTAAGGTTCTGGAAGCCACAGTGCAAGTATGGCAGGGGTTAGGGAGTACTGGGGATCCCCTTTCTACAGTTGAGGAAACTGATGTCCACAGTGGGAAGGGATGAATGTTAGGCCACAGATGGAGGCGATGTCAGATCAGGGGGTGGGGCCAGGGCACCATTATGGACTTCTAGCAGGTTTAACCTGGAAAATCCTGCTGGGTTTTTAAAAAACCTAAGGGGCTGTCCTGTGGAAGGAGAAACCAATGTTCTGGGAGGTCCAGGAGCTGGGCAAGTGGGAGCAGCAGGGAAAAGGACAGCCACTCATTAGCCAGATGAGCTCTCTAATAGGTCATTAGGAAAGGTTGCTCCGGGTGCTGTGAGCAACTAACTCATCCCTGAAGGCATGTGAGCTGAGCCTGGCTGGCCCATTTCCCAAGATCATGTAAAGGGGTTTTCTGCACTGGGCAGAGAGGGTAGGAAGGTTCTGTACAACCCTAGGGGGTTTCTGAGCTTTTGGGCAAATTGAACTGAGATTCAAGCAGACAGGACAGGACACAGCGTGCCAAGGAGGTGGCAGAAAGTGAGGCTCCCCTGGAAATCTTCAAAGCATACCCATCTCTTCATTCCCTCCTCCCCTCCTCATCTCCTACCCCTGAGTTCGGAATGGTACATACCAGGATGTCCAGGCAGGCAGCCTTCAGCAGGGTGATTTGGTCTGCGATGGTCAAGCCAGTGAAGCCCGGAAGACGTTTAGCAAACTCCACAATTTTAATAATGCACTTGGTGGCCAGTTCACTAAATTTGTCCCAGAGGCCCAGATCCAGACGGACTCGATGGTCAGCACTGGAGTTCTAAGAGGGAGAGAAAACACCATCAGGTCTACGTTCTGGGAACCCCAACGGCAGGCCAGGAACTCAACACACTTTCTATTAATAGAAATTCCAGCCTTGACCAGGAAGCTTCCAGGTGGGGTGGCTGAGCCTTTAGCTTGGATTCATCTTTTTCATTTGCTCAAAGCTTTAGGCCTGTACTACTGTGCTACTGGGTAACCATCACTTGCTGTCAAGTCAGTTCTGACTCATGGAGACCCCATGTGTGTCAAGAGTAGAACTGTGCTCTGTAGGGTTTTCAATGACTGGTTTTTCAGAAGTAGATCACCTTCTTCTGAGGTACCTCTAGATGGACTCAGACTCCAACCTTTTGGTTAGCAATCCAGCAGTAACCTTTTGCACCTTGATCCCTCATACAGGGATCAAGTAACAGATGAGGGAAAGTTTCTCTGTGTGCAAATATTCCAGCTAATAACTGAAGAGGAAATGATAGAATATGGATACACCTTTTGCCACTCTGATGAATTAATGGCTCTAGCAATCGATCATCAGTAGTTACTGGAAACAAAACCAAAAACCCAAACCCAGTGTCACTGAGTCAATTCCAACTCATAGCAACTGCCATGAGGTTTCCAAGGCTGTAAACATTTATGGAAGTAGATTGCTTCATCTTGGTTACTAACATCTTAAAAAGAGGCAACGTGCCATTTGCACCTCCCAGTGGAAAAATACCTCACCCCTCTATGAAATAGTCTGGCCCCAAATTAAACCTGAATCAGATCAAGCTTCTAGGTGTAACTACAGTAAATTCAGGAGCTAGAAGAATGTGATAACCACCACCATGGGGATGCAATCATCAGCATCCAGGGTGTAGAAAACTCTATAAACCAATGATCTGTTGTTGTTATAATTATTATTATTTAAAATAGGTTGCAAAGAGAAAAAAGAAGTGTAAACAGAAACCTATAGATTAAAAGAAACTTAGTGTTCATTAACTGGTGAATAGATAAATTATGATACAACCATGCAACAGATTGCTATTCAACTACAAAAAGAAGCTGCATTGATACATACTACAACATGGGTGAAGCTCAAAAGTATTGTGCCAAGTGAAAGAAGCCAGACATCAAAGCCTACATACCATCTGACTCCATTTATATGACATTCTCAAAAGACAAAACTATAGTGAAAGTGCGTAAGTTTCCAAGTGCTGGGAGGTAGGGCAAGGGGACTCACTACAAAGGGGCAAGTGGGAACTTTTGGGAGTGATGAAAATGTTCTACACCCTGACTGAGGTGTTAGTTACATGACTATACATGTATAAATGTATGTCAAATGCATTTAACTGCTCATTTAAAAACATTAATTTTACATTATATAAATTATACTTCAATAAACTCGGCTTAAAAAAGATTTAGAGAACTTATCACCTAATCACAATGCTTGGGCTTCATGTGAATTCTGATTCAAACAAACTATAGAGAAACTGTGATATATATGAGAAAATTGGAAATCTGAGATATCAATGAATCCTTGTTAATTTTATTTTAGGAGGAATGCTAATGGCATTATTATGGGTTTTTTTTCTGTGAAAGTTTCTTTTAGAATACATTAAATTATTTATAGATAAAATGATGTTTGGAATTTGCTTCATAATAATAGGTAATGCAGGTAGAGAGAGAGAGAGAGAGAGAGAGAGAGAGAGTGTGTGTGTGTAGGGGGAAGGATTAAGAAATGAAATAAGATTGGCCATGGAATGATCACAGGGCTTCATTATACCATTTTATACTTTTTATACATCTCTACTGCTGCTTCCATTGGAAGATAATTTATATTGTTGTTGTTATTAGGTGCTGTCAAGTTGTCTCCAACTCACAGAAACCCTATGCACAGCAGAATGAAACACTGCCTAGTCCTGTGCCAGCCTCATGATCCTTGCTACACCTGAACCATCGTTGCAGCCACTGTGTCTATCCATCTTGTTGAGGGCCTTCCCCTTCTTTGTTGACCCTCCACTTCTCCAAGCATGATATTCTTCCCCAGAGAATGGTTTCTTCTGACAACATGTCCAAAGTAGATGAGACAAAGTCTGGGCATTCTCGCTTCCAAGGAGCATTCTGGCTGCACTTCCTCCAGGACAGATTTGTTAGTCCTTTCAGCAGATCATGGCATTCTTAGCATTCTTCTCCAGCACCACAACTCAAAAGCATCACCTCTTCTTTGATCTTCCTTATTCATTGTCCAGCTCTCACATTCATAAGAGGCGACCATGGCTTGGGTTAGGCCCATCTCAGTCTTCAAGGAGACATCTTTGCTCTTTATCACTTGAAAGAGGTCTTTTGCAGCAGATTTGCCCAGTGCAATACGTCATCAGATGTCTTGACTGCTGCTTCCATTGGAAGACAATATCAGCCTTCTAGTTCTCATCAGACCCCCGGAGGACCAAGTTCCTGTAGGATCCATTACTCTTGTATAGTCACAAACCCAATGAAGGGGAAGTGTTCCTCTCAACCCTTCAATGAGAGCGTTAAATCTCTGCCACCTACGGGCTGAAGCTCCTACCTCCATTCAACTGCTCATTTTGTTCTTCACTCATTTATTTAACTTTGTCCTTTCTACCCTTACTACCTCCCTCACTCTCTTCCTAACCAAAGTGGGGTTGTGTCTACCTGATCTCCAAACCTGGCCTATTCCCCACTTGGTTGATGGGTTTCACCTCTAATAAGTGAAATCATCTCCAACCCTCAGTTTCCCCATCTATGAGTGGGGATATGATTCACAAAGGCACTGTGAGGAGTACGTAGGATCACAGAGGGAAGGAGGGAAATGGTACGTGACATACTCTGGAGGTTTGGCACTGTCAGACCCCTTCCCCCAGCATCCCATACACATCCATGTGCTGCAAGAGGTTTTATATCAGAGAAATGACTTTCCTGTCCTCCATTCTCACGTGCAGAAGTTACATCAACAGCAAGGTCCCACATATAGCCTATTCCCCATTACTCATTACAAGCCACAACCTATCTCTCCACAGTTACAGGTCACAGAGGATGCTCAAAGGACACACAGGCAATAGAATACCATTAAGAACTTGCCAGAAATTACTGAGGGACACAACTTTTGGTCAACATCACATTCCAACATACCCAAGACAGTAATGTTTTTTGTTTTAAAATTTCCTTCCTGTAATCTCCACAGGAAATCTTCTGACCTTGGCCATAGCTCTGTCTGGTGCTCGTATCTCTAATCTGAATGGAGGTGAATGACAATCTTTAATCTCTGCCTTCCCAGCAATCCCCACTTCTGCCTCTGGAAAAACTTGGGGAACTGCCCCACCCCCATCTTAATCCATGACATTTCGTTGGTGCTGTCTAACTCCCTCAAGTGGCTGGGAGGACACTTGACTCTGGTCAGGCCAATCAATGGTCCCTCCTCCCAGCCACAGTGGTGGGTTCGGGAAAAGACTGGTAACTCATAGCAAAACAATGAGGCTCAATATTGAGACTTTGGATGAAACAACTGGGAAAGAGAAGCTCTTTGTCAGTGGGGGTTGCCAAGAGCTTTCAGGAACTACCAGGTATTAAAGGCCTCCTGGAAAATAAAACCAACTCAGAGCACAGCAGAGCTGAAAGATGGAGAAAGAGAAGAGTAAGTAGTCCAGTCTTGAAGGTGTTGTTTGAGCTGCTAGTTCCTGCCATACCTGATCTATTTCAGGATTCATTTTTCTTTTCTTTTCTATTATTTTCTTTGTTGTTTTTTCCACTTTCTCATTTTTAAAAAATCTGAGTCAGTTTGAATTTCGTTTCTATCATCTACAACTGTAAGAATTCTGACTAAGGCACAGTTATGGCTTAAGAGGGTTTAGGTCTGAGACTTTCACATTCTCCTAAAGAACTGTCAAGACGCAGTCTACAAAGACAATGTTCTACTTCCTACTTTGCTGAGTAGTGACTGGGGTCTTAAAAGCTTGTGAGCTGACATCTAAGGTGAAACTGTTGGTTTCTCCGTGTCCAGAGCACAGAAGAATGAAGAAAATCAAAGACATGTGTAATTAATCTGTGCAAAAGACTAACGCACCACAAGAACCCCAGCCTCTATCATCGTGAGATCAGAAGAACTAGATGGTGCCTAGCTACCACTGTCTTTGTGGACTGTTATGCCAACTGATTTTGATGTCCCCAAGACTACGGTCCTGAGCCTCCAGGCCCAGTAACTCATTCCCTCAACGTGTTTGGTTATGGTTAAGAGGTTTTCATAACTTTGCCCCCTGTATGCTCTACTATATTCATGGGTATATTTGTAGCACATAGAAATACACAGCTAGAAATACCCTCTGTCAAACCTATATTTATTCACAAGTATAGTCCCATTCACCTTCCCACTCCTGTTCAGCTTGCTTTATTCATCCATGTATCCACTCGTAGATTGTTATTACTGTTATTACAGGATTGGGCATGTAATACTATTGCCCTTTGCTGCCTTTAATACTTGTGCTCCTCTCAGTGTCTTCCTTTGCCTTGATCATTTTGTGCTGACCTCCCACACTGTACATTACCTTTCTCTTCCCTCAAGTTGTCTAACCCTCTGGTTTGTGCTTTAACTTCCTTTCCCCTCCTACCTCCTTCAAAGAATGTTTCTTTCTGTGAGTAAACTTTTTCTTGACTTTACAGTAGTGGTCTCATACAATATTTGTCCTTTTGTGATGGATTAATTTCACTCAGTATGTCTCCCAGAATCATCCATGTGGTGAGGTGTTTGACAAATTTGTTGTTCTTTAACATTGCTTAGTATTCCATTGTGTGTATGTACCATGGTTTGTTTATCTGTTCATCCACTGATGGGAACTTGTTTCCATCTTTTTGCTATTGTGAATAATGCTTCTATAAACATGGGTATGCATATATCTGTTTGCATTGTGGCTCTTGTTTTTCTAGAGTATATACCTAGTAATGGGATTGCTGGATCATAGGGCATTTCTATATCCAACTTTTTAAGGAATCACTATACTGTCTTCCACATTG